AGAGAGAGAGAGAGAGAGAGAGAGAGAGAGAGAGAGAGAGAGAGAGACTCCCATCCCTAGCTATTAAAATCCAGGCTCCTACGGTTGAGACACCTATCTGTTTTTCTCTTGTTTCGTTTCATTTTGGTTTGGTGGACTTGGTTTCCCATCTCTTCTTAGAACCTTGCAGGCGTTAAGGATGTAGCGATGGAGCCCGGGACTTTCTATGGATGGCTCCATGGTGTCTTATCTGGAGTCAGCATCAGTAGCCAGCATAATGGAGTTAGGATGCTACAATGCAGAGCCTCTGTGGACATGGCCAAACCATTCACACATCCTCAGCCTTGGGCCTTCATCTGAAGAAGGGACCCTTGGAAGGTACTAGGAAATCAAACTCCATGCCAGATAAACTTCATTAAAGTCAAGACTCTTGTTCGGGTTTCTCCTCAGCTACTGCGTCTTTGGAACCTACAATTTTGCTTGGCATTTCGCTATTTTTAAGTAAATGAATGTTACCCACGATGAAAAAAAAAGTCATGTTGCAAAATGCCTTCCCTAGAGTGAATGTAGAAGTATTGTACCTCATTAATCCCAGTAGGCACTACCTTCTTTCCCACCACAATTAATTCAAATGTTTAAAATTGAAACTTCCTGGCCATCTGATGTCTGATCATTATGTGGAGAATGAATTTGCTCACTTAACATTAGCTGGTTTTATTCTTGTTGTTTTGTTTTGTTTTTTTGTTCCAATCGCTAAAATCCAGGTTCCTTATGAGTAAGAAGCAAATGTTTTGTTTCGCTTCATTTTATTTGGCTTGGTTCAATTTGGTTTTCCATCAGTTCTTAGAACTTTGCCAGGACCCAATAGGACAGTCCTAGAAGCAGAGAGTCCTAGAAACTATTTCATTGTGGAATCAGCTCTAAGGAGAAGCATCACAATATCTCCCGTAGAACCTGAAAGCGCACTAGACACATATTATCAGCCTTTCCTGACTCGCCAAACAACAGACAACCAAGCCATCGATATTTTAGGGGGATGAGGATAAACATACAAACAAAGGCTTTGGTCAACAACGGTGAGATCCATTTAAAGAACTCAGCATTGGTATTCATGACCACAAAATGGCCTTTCTAAGAAGGGGAGGATCACATCTTAAAAGCTTTAACTCTCTTAGAACTATTTTGCAGTTTCAGCAGACTCTCAATGAAATTCCAAGGCATTAATCCACACCACCTGCCCTTCAATGTAGTAAGGAAAAATGAACACGAAATTACACTTAGCGCCAAGAGGGCATTGTAATATTTGCCTTGTGCAATAAAGAACCCCACCGACGCTGCACTAGTGAAAAAGGTGCAACTGAAAATAGAGCAGAACAGAAGATCATTTGTTGGGTGAAGAGGAGTCGGATATATGATATGAAACCTTTCCGATAAAAAGATGGAAGATAATCTGTTTTTACAAGCAGGAGAAATATCTAGAATGATAGTCAAGGACTGAGAACTGGCTTTGTTACCCCAAGAACTAGACCTGACACCTCCATGGGAGAGTCTAACATCAATGATACTTCTCACTTCCTGTGAGTCTTAAATCGCAAGAATCCCCTGTTTACTTAAAAATAAAATTTAAAATGTTAAAGTGAAAAAGTGATTTTATTTTTTTCTATAACGCCAACACTAGTTGGTGACTCTTTTCACTTTTCTTAAATTAGATGGATTAGCACATCTAATAGAAATTTAAATGCAATAGTTGGGACTATGTATCACTATACATTGTTTCCTTTTTAATAAAAATTTAACATTTGCTGAGTGCTCTGCATCCCAGCAGGAGGGAAATGATACGAAGGGCCAAACAATAGCATCATTTTCTCTGAAAATGGTTTCACTGAAAACAATTTTCCAGGAACGTAGAAAATTGTTATCATTAAACTTTTTAACTCTGTTTTTTTCAGACTAATTTTGGGTTCTCAACACAACTGAAAGCAAAGGGCAGAGGCTTCCCATTTGCTCCCTCCTCCCACACGCACTTAAGCTCCTCCATGATCGGCATCCCTCTGTGACCAACATCCCTCCCTGTAGGATCAGCATCCCTCTAGCAGGGTGGTACGGTTCTGACGACTGATGAGCCTATCTTGACACATCATTGTCACCCAAAGTCCACACTTAACCTTGTAGTTTACTCTTGGTACTACACATTATGCACTTATATACATATCGTGTGCATTTACATGCATATATAAACGTACATAATGGCCAGTATAGTATCATACTCGGTGTTCCCACTGCCCTAAAGATCTTAGCATCCACCTATTCATTTCTTTCTCCCCCACTAATCTAAGAATCTCAAGAACTTGGTTTTTTGTAGAGAGTAGTATAGCCAGAATCACACAATACGCCGCCTTTTCAGACTGGTCCTCAGCAACATGCATTTCAGTTTCTACTCTGTGTTTTCCTGGTTTGATAGCTCATATCTTTTTAGGACAATTCATCATCTAGCTTTGCTGCAGTTTACCGATTTACCAACTAGAATCATTTTGGATGCTTCCAAAAACTAATGACAAATCTACTATAAACACCCATGTCCAAGTTATGTGTGTGTGTGTACATTTTAACTTCTCTGAGAATGCCAAGTAACTAAATCATGCTTCTTAGTATCTAAACATACATCAAGGCATGTTTCATTTTATATGACACTACCAAATTATCTTTCAAATGACTATACCATTCATTGCACATTACCTCCAGCAAGACTTATGAGTAACCTGGACAGCATTTGATCTCTGTGTTCCAGATTTTGGCTCTATCTATCTATCTATCTATCTATCTATCTATCTATCTATCTATCT